AAAGTTGGTAATTAACAAACTATGATTGTTAATTTTGTAAACAGAATGGCTATTTTGTAAACAAACTATGATTGTCAATTCTTGTTCATTACATTGTCCACTGTGTTGCAAAGATGCACTTAAGGAAAATTGAATGCCAAAACCACAATATATGTGGATTCATATAGCTTTATGAATACCAAGACTTCCCAAATATCAATATTTTCCACAAACTCCATTTCGCCCAATATTAGTTCCTGAAACCAAATCAATCAAATAACATAAAATCAAGCCAAATCATCGCGAAACTACATCACAGATATCAGTATATTTAAAATGGGGTATTAATTTACCTGTATTTAACTCCCATCTTAATCCCCAAAGACACGTCATTCCATAAAGATGCATTTGACATAGTTACCCCATCTAACCACCACTTCAAAAACCCAGAATTTGAAGATAGTTGAGCAAATAATTTGATTTCAACAGAAAATTCTATATTAGATATTATCAATATTTGGTATAGAAATCCAAATGAATCATTTGATCACTTATATAAAATCGTTCAGATCATTCAAACATTCTAATAGGAGAAAAACTACAGTAAATAATCATTCAAAGAAAAGTTAATTTTGAAAACAAAGAAAAGGAAAAGAACAAGACCATAGATCTGCGCCGCTGTTCCGATCTGTGCAAAGGATGCTCTGAGCGCCGCTGCTCCTCCAGTTGTGCTCGGTGAACCTCCTCTTCGCTGTTCGGTGAAGCAACATACGATGCAAATAGAAGAGAGGTCTTGCAGATAGAAGAGAGAAGACCACCGGCAGATATGGTACAGTCGCCGGTGAGGGAGAGGGAGAGAAGTGAGAGACGGAGGGATTGAAAATTATGTATAAGATTTTAATTATTAATTTAATTAAAACCTAATTTTTAATTAAATAAGCATTACACCTGATTTTTGAATTTAAAAACTTAAATACCTTGTTTTAGGTATTTTTCTCTTGTGTAAAATCCAGTATAACCCACAATTTTTGAAAAGTCGACCCGTCCAAAAAAAA